GCGGTTCACTGCCGATATCGGCTAACCGGCTCATCACGTTGAACGTGTGAGTGCTGAAGGCAATGGCACAAATAGCCATTGAGCTGAGAGGTCAAAAGTGGCCCCGGTAGCGTAAGTGGTAACGCAACTGCCCGGTAAGCAGAAGATGCGGGTTCGAGTCCCGCCCGTGGTCCGACTTTTGCCCATAACTCAGCATTTCTTGGGAACCGAAAGAGTGCAAAATGCCCCCCCCGTCGCCAAACAAGCGCCGATCCTGCCCTGCCGAATGCTTTGTTATGACATACACTAGCAACACACTCAGATATGTCTGTCTGATAATTATCGAAACAAAACTACTAATTTATGACTATTTCAGTTCAGGTATCCCGAATGACTGTCAATTACCACAGAGCCGCTTCAACAAGTAGGCCATGGACATTCTTCAAATTACTTTTTAAATGGAAAGGTAGCATATGGAAAGCCGTCTACATGGAGCTTATATGCTTTTTGATCATCTATGGGATCATTTCTGTCATCTATCGCTGTGCTCTCAGCAAATCGCAACAACTGTAAGTCATTTCTGACAACTGTACCAAAAAGAGAAAAGGGGGCTGAGCGATGCACATTGCCTTGCGTGCGGTTGCGTTGCGGCAGTAGCGATGACACTCCAAGGTCCTGCTTGAAAAAAGGAAAGCCAATGAACATCTTCAAAAATCTCTATCACGCGAATCTCCCTGATAGGTGTTGATCCTTCAACCGCTGCGCGACCGCACGCGGCAATGCTTGCAGTCTTCACCTTATTCTAGGCAGAGAAGATTTACGCCATCTGCAAATGTTGGAACCCGACACTAATTTGCAGGAATTTCGAAAGGGTCGTGAGATATTTCGATGCCCGGCTCGACTATATTCCGCTGGAACTTGTGCTTGGCTTTTTCTGCACTCAGGTGTTCAACAGATGGAATAAGCAGTACGATACGATTGGCTTTATCGACAAGTACGTACAAACTCAATATAAGAAGTACATCAGTTGTTCTCGAAGGATACGCCACTCATTGATATTAGAAAAAATGAATGTGAATGGAATGCGAACGGGGTTGAATGCGATTGCATTTGTCTTTAGAAGGCAAGCGTCGTCTAGTTTGAGAGGTGGCATTTTCTTAGTTTGCTAAGTTCCACTACGATCCCCTCTAGATTCACACGTCCTGCCTTGGTAAGACGTGTGAACTTTTGTCAAGTGCAGACGAACTACTGCTACTGCTTGGTTTACAAGGGTTTACAGATCTACAAGCCTCTTAACAATTTTCTTATCCGGTAGGACCCCACTCACATCCCATAGACCGTCCTTTCAATTTTTCTCCTAGAATTTCACAGTCAAAATGGGGTAGGGCCAAACGCCTCCAATGAATTACTGGAACCAGTGGTTTTGTCGGGCCGACGACCATGGGTGTGTACGGCGCACGTGAACTGGGAAAAACCAACATTCGGAAACGTTTTCCCAGACCGGATATAACACCTACACCCTAGCGACCAAATGCGACCCCCACCACCAAACGTACGACGTCCACGTTTTCTGAAAGATTTGATGAACACGGTGCACTACATTACTTAAACAACATTTCCGCTTTTCATCATTGGTCTAATGTCTGCCCTATACGTCCGAGGAAGATCTGAAGCAAGCCCGAATGTACAGGCGAAATATTATCCGCTATTGCGAATTAGTTCAGGTCAGTTTTACTTGTACTTTTCGACTTTGGCGCTCGGAGAAACCCTATAAAAAGCTCCTATTCAAAACACCCGTGAATAAAATGAGACGTCAATCCCTCGCAAGGTCACGCATGTTCGTAGACTGGTTTTGCGACGGATTTCGTTCATAAAACTGTTTACTCAGTGCCGAAAGGGAATAGCGAAACAGCCATGTTTGCAACCGAAAAATGACGCGAGTTTCCCATCTCTCAAAGTGTATTTCTCGAAGAAAACGTTTGGGTAACAGTCTTTCAGGTGCTTGTCTTTCGAGACGTAAGCATGCGAGTCAGACGGCGATTTCCCACACTGGACACAATCGTCGCTGCAGGTACTGAATTGATAATTTCCCGAAGCGGTTCCTGGATAGCCAAGATAGTTGACACTTTTTGGCGTTGTTCGGCGGCTTAGGGGAGGCACTTTCGCTGGTTCCTTTTGCTAGTTCAAGGTAGCGGTCTTCTTTGGCGGAGACCTGTAACTCCTGTGAGCTGCGATATTGTTCGTGTGGGCCACTTTGCTCAGGATTTGACAGGTCTTCGCAAGGTAGCCTGTACAAGCTGAGCTTATGGTGAGTACCATGCAGTACCACCAAGCCCGACTGCGCCTAGCCTAGTAACCCGACAGCTTCACTTTGAGTCACAGTCGTAGTTTTCAGGTTTCATGCTTCCCCATGAAAAAGAGATATTTGAGTCATACAATGGCTCCTCGCCGAAATATTGGATACCGGCCAACTGGGCACTTGCCATGACATATCAGGCTTGGAAACATGGTTATATCGAAAGTGCTTACTACAAAGTTACGCTTCAAGAGGTGAGAAACGTTCGGGCAAAGAAATACCTCTCAAGGGAAGGAATATAGGACAACTTCTTCATCTCTCATGAAATTCAAGACTGATAGTTCTCAAAGGTACACTCTGTGATTGGCGCAGGACCCAGTCTTCCCCTCAGGTAGGAGTATTGGTCCCAAACTGCAAAGAAAGCGAGCTGCATGCTCTTCGATGCATCAGGTGCCGTCCCAGGCTGCCCTTGCCTATTCTAGTCTCTCTGCCGTGCTCTCACTTATCTTCCCCACATTGCCCATGCGGATGATCTTAACCATCTTATGCCCTCCCCCAGGGATCGTGACAATGCAAAAAGCAGTGTCGTATTTAGGGCGTGCTGCACATTCCATTACTGAGCCAACTGGAACCTAGGCTTTGGTTCTTGAACCCATAATTTAGGAACGCCAATCGCCGAATGTGCCTTTTTCTGAAACAATTGCCTTTATTGTATATTTTTCAGGAAATTAAAAAATGGCGCACTAATATGGAATGGGTCTTCAACTACGACTGGGTGCCCCTGCCCCTCATGTATCCTCAGGTTTACGATGATTTTCAATTTTCTCGCTTTGACAACTGAAACCTGAAGAGCTTGTTCAGGTCGTTTGTTTGGCCGTACATTTTTACTTCCTCGTCTGCATATTCGCGCGTCAACAAATCGTGGTTGAACATGAGTTCAAAACTGAGGTACGGTATAGAAAAATGAATAGCTAAATAGACAGGGCACAACATCGTGGTGAGTCAAATGACGACGTCTGTAGGACCACACTCCCCCCCCCTAAACTTCCTCTTGGTACTACCCTACCCCTGAAGATCATCAACGGTTGAAATGAGGAAAAGCACCAACTCAATAAATGGCAGCCCTGCTACAAAAGCCCATAATTTGGCCCTGAACTAGTCAGGAGATCGGAAGAAAATTGGTGGAGAAGAAGTACATTAGACAGGGTTAAGGCAGTCTGGGGGGGGGGTGCTCCGACCTGTCCACAGTGGGCGGAGCGGCCTTGAGCAGAAGGTCCCTAATGAAATAAACGGGAGTTCCGTTTCAGAGCATTCCAGAGACTGGAAAAGGCACATTGCTGGCCAATATACCATTAATGAACAATTTTCAAACGAATCAAGTCCAAAGAAAAGGGTGAACAGTGTGATAATCGCATTCATGGTTTTCCAGGTGGATACGTACTTTCCAATAATGACAGCATTACAATTCGTATTTTATATGGGATGGATGAAAGTGATTGAAGCCGTTATCAATCCTTTTGGAGAAGATGATGACGATTTTGAAACCAATGCTCTCATAGACCGAAACATTACGGTGAGTCAACTGGGTCCTGCTGAGATATCGCGGAAAGTGTTCAGTTCAAGGCACATTGTTGTTGGGGATTCCCAAACAGGGGCGATCGTATATGGTCGGTGGGGAGAAGGGTGGGGGTCGTTTTGGTCTCAGAAAATTTTTTTGATAGTTGTCTTTCTTGTTACAGGGGCACTATAAAGGGGAGGGGGTCATACTGGTTCCTTGTTGGGAAGGGGGTGGCGTATTGGGCTTTGGCCTTCTGAGAGATGTTGTTGACTTTGTGGTGTTTTCCTGTTTCATACGTGTATATCCCCATCCTTCTCCCGCCCCCCGCTCAACAGCAAGTTTTTTTTTGGAAATTTCGGAAAAACTGGTGAGAGGAAAATAAGTGGTAGGTATTATAGGGAAGGAGGGGTGGGGAAGAGGGAGGGGGGTTCATACCAACCCTCTACAAAAAGGGAGGTTGTATGGACTCGACCAAAATCCCCAGCCACTGATGTGTCCTTGTTCAGTTCAATGTTGCTAGAGTCTTGCCCGCTGTGGATGATGGGGCGTGTCAAGAGGAGACGGCTTTGCTCCAACAGCCCGTTTTTTTGGCAAGCGAGAAGACTGTAGCATGTATTTCGTATAGTCATATTCCATCTGGCTCACCCGCTTCAACATTCCGTGGAGAACAGGCAGGCGGTTCGCTTAACCCAGCCTCATGAATAGACCCCTTTACCCGCAGAGAACAAGGCCGTGAGATCGACAAAATTCGTAAAAAAAATGTGATAACGTGACACCCTACCCGCGCCTGGTATTTACTACCCTGGTCTTACAGAAAGGCTGAATATTCAGATGGGCATGATGATAGTCGATCAAGGATATGATCGTCCCCCGGAACTACGCCGTGATCCCTTTTGGGACTCCGTTCATCCACTCTACTCTGAAGAAACGTCACGTATTACCTAATAATGTACCGCAAGGATCTGTTAGTCACGTAAAGTAAGAGTATTTCTTCGGAACACCCAGAAGCTTCACGTCTAAAATATAGCTTTGTTGCAGGTTGGCCAGTTCTGTGTCTGAGGTAGTAATGATGCCACATTCTCGAGCTGAAACAGGAAACACTCCAGTATTTTCCACTGGAGCTTCCATTCGTAAGAGTAAAAACGTCAAGGTTAAAGAGTAAGTGAGAATTTATACCATACTTGACCGAAAAATTGTTAGGCGTGGCGAACTCGGAGAAAACATGGGTGTTTTTGATTCCTGTACTACTTCACGGGCGAAGGCGATAAAGTGGAAAGTCGCGCCCGTCTGAGGGTCGAATCTGGGATTGGACCCAACACGGCCAACCGAGCCTTCCAATCTCCCTAGTTTGGTTTACTGCCAACAAAGTCATCTTGCAGCACTGGGGGGTCTTAGGTCTCGAAACACTGGGGGGTCTTAGGCCGAGCCCCTCCCTTCTGATGACGCCTTCCTCAGTGGGGCACTACTCTTTAAAACCGCAAAGAGGTGCGCGTCAATGTGTCCGCGATCCATCCATAGACTACCAACGTGGGCTGTGCTACTAAGAGAAACGAACTACTGCGATCCTATACATTTGCCAAAATGTGATTTTCGAGCAAAATTCGACTTCTCTCAAACTTTTCATGTTTCAGCGACGAACGTTACAAACCACGACAACGTGAAGAATCAATGATCTTCAGAAGTGTGAGGATCGCACTCAACAAGTACGAATTTTTTTCTACACCTGCCCACAACCACACAGTCCAATACTAATTGAACGCACCAAAGCGTCCGCTGGCACGCAATCTCAGAATAGAAAGGGGCAGAGACATGAAATGCATGTCTAGGAGAAGCACGAACACTTCCCCTTATACATGAATCCGAAAACAAGAAACGTGGCTGGGTGTTCCCTCCAAACATGCTATAGCAAGCCATTTTTTCCTGAAGACTTCACATCTTCAGATGACTGCCACTGCATTGCACTCCTTTCAATAATGACAGCGTGCACTCAGAGCTGCAATATTCCACCAAGGGTCGCCACATTCAGTCAAAGTACGCAACCACGCCACTCCATCTGCAGGGTCTCTGCTTCTCTTCCGTCTAAATCCTCTTATTCATTCGCAGATACGCCCTGCGCAGCCTCACATAGCGCGCCCATGCGAGTAGCAAAATTACGCAGCACGCCATCGCGGCTGTCTATCTATACGGACGATATCGTTCTAGCCTGTTATCTCCTTATCGGGCACACCACACAACCCAACGAAAGCTTAACAGGAGCGTCCCGCGAGACCTACGAAACGCAAGAGGCTATGTGGAAAATCAGTGCGGTCCGGAGTCGACCATCCCCGCACTTTACGCGCGGAAAGTTGTCGTAAAAGATTAGGCGCAAAGTTGCTTCAGTTTTACATCCCATTTTCTAGAGACTCCGCCTCCAGACTCCGCCTCCAGAGTCGGCCTTCCAGCCAAATGTCATGCTCCCGGAAGTACTATGAGGTGGATGCAATTCATTGTCTCTTAGATAGATCACAGGTTCAATACTGAATCAAGCAGACGGGAATGGTCCCATGCGCGCAGGTGTTTTCGGCTTCCTACTTCTGCTTGCAACGTTTCCTTTGACATTTTCTCTTCATAGTTGGTCCAGTTGGCAAATTTTCTTCCACATTTCTGCCAAATCACCTGGGCTTTTTATCGCAGATCGTGCCTTTAATACAAAACAGCTTCATATAGAACATTCTAAAACCATTTTGCAGGATCTACAACTCCATATCATCATTCTTTGCGTCCTTGATTCCCGCCAGGAAGCATAAGGAAGAAAAACCACCTATCACGGTTCTTTCAGTCAGTCAACTCAAGCCTTCAGTCGACGAGCTGAACCTATACACCAATTTCACCCCAGTCAGTGTTGCCATCCCCACTGAGGCGCCACTATTCAATGAAAAATATGTGGGATAACTGATTCAATCAATGAAAACACAGTAGAGCCTATGATTTTGTTCAGGGTGAATAAACATCTATGAAGTGATCAGCTCTCAGCAATTTCGAGATGAACTATGCATTCGGCTCTTGTTGAAAACCTTGAAAGCTTTTGGGCGTCGGCTTGGGGAGGGCACTTTGCACTTTCGCTACTTCCCATCGATGTCTTCATCGCTCTACAAGAGTTCACAAGTGGTCTCCTCAAACTTTGGCTGTATCACTTCTTGGCTTCAGGCACCACAGCTCTCCACTTGGTGGCTCGACACGTCAATGAGAAGTAGCGAAGGTGCAAAATGACCCCTCCAACTCCAACTGTGCCTGAAAGAATACTTACTTCCTACCCGGCCTATCCTACCCCACCATAAATGGGATAGAAAAGTGTAGGGTATCTTCAGAAAAGACCTAGCAACTCTAACAGGCGACCCTTTTCCGATTTCCGACTTTTGTTTTCCGATCCAATTCTTCCGACGGCTATTTTGTTTTAGGCAATTAAGTTTGGAGTTCAAGTAAGCTTTGAGCCAGTGGATGAGCCAGAAACTCTTCTTCCAAAACGTATACTTACCTCTTGATTCACTGGCCGATATAAATCGAGAAGCGTGTGCGAACCCATAGTCACATTCGAGACGAGCCGAAAGAAAGCCGGACCATCGGTGTGTGGCATGATTCCTTGTCCGGGGAGATACTGATAACATATATTTATTGACAAGCAGCTAAAACTGACTGAAAGGCTACAGTACCTCATTCACCAGAACATGATTGGATGGACTTGGGAAAACACCCAAGCTGTCGATCTTCTTCATCAAATAACTTAGTTCCTGAATTCCTTCAATTATGCTTCTCCGGAACAACGTTATCTATAGTTCACAAATCTAGAGCAACAGGGTGTTAGCTTCCCAGACTTCACAAATACAGAAGGATCCTCACCAATGGAATATCGTCGGCTGGTATCAGCGCCTTCTTCCCAACCACACCACCATAATTCTGCAGACGACGATTTGAAAGCACAGTCCATTTGGGTTGGGGAGCATTAACGATACGGGCGGTGATAACCTCTTCCTCTTCTTCTGTGATGAAATTCGGGATGTAATAGAGCGAAGGTGGTGCCTGAAGAAGAATGGTGCACATTATTTTCAAGACAGGGAAATTATCGCAAGCGACTCGGCAGCGATTGGCACCAGTGAAAAACGCAGACCTGCTTCCATTTACTAACATTTTGCTCTGCGAAACCGAGCATCCCAGTAATTCACATGCTGTCAGAGTGTCTTTCCGGATTCGATCAATAGTAGGTAAGGGTACAGATGAGCGAAGTTTCCTGTGATCACGAACTTTTCAGCGCAATTAAAGGGACTCTTTAGAGAGCTACGCGTTTCATTCTCGCGTTTCATGTGATATTTCAGCCCCTTCGTGACTAACGGTAACGTCCTGTCCGCACAGCATGTACCACTGTCGTATCTCAAAAGCACGTGAACCGCTCGCTACCGGAGCCATCGCCCCGCCCAATGATTATCGCAACGCCCACTTTCACTTCTAAAGGCCCTCTGGTGAGGCGGGAGCTCCTCCATTCCGAATGATGAAAGTGAAGAGGTAAGTCAGTGACAAATCTTTCACAAAGCACAACTTGTCGACAATTTGCCTCGCTTGTTTTCCGCACTATTCGAATTACTTACTCCTTTCATTAGTTTTGTGGGAACCGCTATGCAATCCATTTTTTAATCTTGGCGGGCGTGCTTGTGAGGCTCAAAGAGCAAACCTTCGACCATATATGGCGTCCCTCCATCAGCTGGATCTCGCTATTTGAGACTGCGTTCATAGTTCGCTACTTGGCCGCTCTGAACGCGCGATCGATTTAATCGCGCGAACAGAGCGACTATATCGCGAAGCATGAAACCCTTAGTTGCCGCAATAAGTCGGGGCGATGTCAGGAGTGTGGAATCAGCTTACTCGCGACGTTTTCACTGGTGTTTCCCTCCTGAAACGAACATTAACCGATCAGTGTCTATGGAAAGGGATCCCGCCCCTCCTCACACCGCCCTGATTAACTGCGACGATATCAGTTCTAGCTTACGAAGGAAGCAACATCCCAGATTTCCTAATAAGATTCACAAACGTACTTTCTCCACTAAAAATTTGGAGATCGCCTCTCGGTCTTCCATGTATACCTTAAAAAAATCCTCAACACACCCAAACCTCAAAAAAGAAACCATCTGAGTAGAATAAGAATAATCCGTCGAAGTATCAAATGGCTGCCACTCTGACAGCAATACTCAATAATCGGTGTCACTTGTTTATTCACAGGATTATTAACACAACAACGTATTTACAAATTCATGAATAATCTTGAATGGAACAAAATTATTACCAATCAGATTAACAACTTACTTAATTCACAGTTATATGTGGCTGTATGAGGTTACAGCCACCAACGAACGACCAATGAAAAGTCGCTAAACCGTTGAAAGACAAGTAAAGTAAAATTTGAATGTACAGTCATCGTGTACATCACCCATTGATATACATGTGGTTTTCATACGATTGGAAATGGGAAAAAGACTCGGTGCAACATGAGAGGTATAACCATCACCTACTGTACCTATCTTAGGCATCCTTCAGACTTTGATGACGCGCGTGAGCGCGACAACGCGCTGTAACGCGCGTTGACGTGCCACCACCGCAAGGGCTCCCTAGTGCAAACGTAGATGCTGTCTTCACACAACCTGGTGTCCTCCCTTCCCTCGGAACACATGCGTGTCTAGAGCCTCTCACCGGTGTTTGCAATTGCAGCGCGTCAACGCGCGTCGACGCGCGCCATCGCAAAGTCTGGACATGCCTTAGAAATTGTACCGATCGAAGGTAGTCATATACAGAACTCGAACAAAACTGCTGCGATATGAAAAGTCAAGAAG